AAAAAAAAAAAAAAAAAAAAAAAAAAATCCCACAGCTCCTAAAAGTTCCTTTATCCAAGCATTTTCAGTCCTCATTCCTCCCCCAACAGTAGGCCACCATTCATATTACCTGTATAATTTTTTTAAAAATACAATTTCTAAAAAACATACCAGTTTTATCAAGGTCCATTTGTTCAGCATGAGTAGAAATCTGTGTCCATATTTCATTCTTGATCTTTTTCAGAAATTTGGGGCTATAAAGTACCAAGTCTGCATAGGAGGTCAGTGTGGAAACACTCTGTACTGCAGGGTAAGATGTGATTTCATCTAGCTGAGTACTGTTAGCCCCGTGGACACTCAGAGCAAATACAGTTACACCCTCCAGCCAAAGGTTTAATGCAGCCTCACGCACTTCATCATCTGAGGGTCTGTGGGTGACCAGCACTGCAATCTGAGGGACCCCCTGTGCCCTTCTACTGCCATTGGCCTCTGAGAAAACTTCTTTCCTCATCTGCTCAATGGCAGCCCCAGCATTTGATTTCCCAACCCGGAGGGAAAGCTTCCTGACTTGCTGCTGAAATACAGATTGATTTGTACTCGATTTCAGAAGAGAAAGAATCTCTGTGCTATCGCTGTAACTCATCAGTCCCAGCCGCATACAGCTGTCCTTCACATCCAAGGAACTGGCGGTGCTGTCCAGAAATTCCTGAAGGTTCTTTAAATTTTGCCTGGTCCCAAGTGTCCCATCCACCAGAAATACAAGGTCAGCAAGTGAATCTTTCTGGCAGGGTATGGTGGAAGGAACTATGGAGAGAAAAAAATGTACAAGGATTAATATAGACCACTGGCCCAGAGTGAGAAAGGCCCTTTACTGATTGCTAAAGGCATTGAAAATAGAGGTAATCATGACAGACGTAGTTAGTATTTTAACTTCTAGTGACTAAAAGATCAAAAATCTACATAAGAATTACAGGGTCATTCACTTCAGAGGTTTACATGTGCTGGTCCTTCTACCTGAAGAATACTGCTTACCAGTTTTCCTACCATATATACCAAACTGTACCATCATCTCGGTGACCACCACCAATACCATAACCACATTCCTTACCAGTATGATCACCACCACCATCCTCATTACCATTATGACCACCTTCTCTATCACAACCACATTCATCTTTACTACCAGTATCAATCCCTTACCATCACCATGCTCACCATGACATTTACCTCTACCACTGTCTGGGAGGCAGGGATAAACTAGCAGAGGCATCTCTAACCTTAGGAAGCTCACATTCCGTGAGAAGGACAGATGACCAGATTACATTGTAAGTGTTACAGAGTAAATAAAGCATGTGACTTGACTGTGTGACTATACTTGAGAAATGGTGGGGGAAGGTGAATGGGATTCAGAGAGGCACCAACTTAAGACCTGAGACGTGAAGAAGTCAGGGAAGGCCTTTCTGAGAGGATCACATATGGGTTGAAATCTGAATGAAGAGGATTCAGTCACATGAAATTCTGAAGAAAGAAGAATTTTGGTAGAAAGAACTCCAAGAGGTGGGAACAAGCAAGAAGCCCATGGTGACAGAATTCAATAATTGCAAGAAAACATTGGTGGATGAAGTCAGAAGGAGACAGACCCAGGTCATCTGGGAGTCACATGATCTGACTGAAATCTAATTGTCACTCTAGTTGCTGAAGGGAATTCAGCAATAACAATTAAGGAACAACTGCCCTCATCCAGGAAAGATATAATGGCTTCCGAAAAGATAATAACAAGGCACAACAAGGGTAGTTTGTTATATGATTAAAGGTATAACAGAAAGCTTGATAAATTGGATGCAATTATTGAAAACAAATGAGGAAATGGTGAAAATTCCTGAGCGCTTGGCCTGACAAGTAAGTAGAAGGTGGTGATGTGTTTTTCTAAAACAGGCAAGATAACAGGAGAAAAGAAGTTATAGGGGAGGGGTTCCAGGAGTTCCATTCCATGTACCATTGAACATTAACAGAAGATGTCATGTAAGCAGCTGGTTTTAGGGATCTGGAATCTAAAAAAGATTACACCATGTTCCCATCAAACATCTATTCCCAGAACAGGAAGATGAACCCAACTATCAAAAGTGTAGCCAAGAGATAAGCTCAGTCTTGCCAAGGACTATTTATTATCTCCCCTGACCTTACAAGGCAGAAGGCATGGCTTACTTATCTCTAACTCCTTAGTGCCTGGCACCTGTAGGAGATCAAAAAATATTTTTAGAATTAAGAATAATTCTCTCAATACTACTTAGGCATAAAGAATGAGAAATTAGAGTCATTCATAGGAAAATAGATGCATATTGAAAATATACTCTTAAGTAAAATAAATAAGTCACACATGTAAATACCGAATAGTTTCTCTGGTGTGAAAAACTATAATTGTACATAAGATCCTAATGGTAAAATTGACAAGGTGAAATAGGAAGAAAAGGGCTGAAGGTGTAGGGGAAGTGGGAAGGGGAGGGGAAATGAAATAAGGGAAAAGGAAAAATATGAGAAAATGGAAATAAAGTATTTATAAATAGGGAAGGGAGGAGGGGGTGAAGGGAGGGCAGGGGAATGGGGGAAAAATGAGAACCAACACCTGTCATGTAAAGGTAAAAGATTCCAAAGATGAATGTAACTGTACTATATACCTAAAATGTAACAATTAAACTCAATGAGGAAAGTAAAAAATAAGAAAATAAAAATAAATAAATAAAATTCTTTCAAATCTTCCAATCTACTCTGAATTTCACACAGTTGACTAAAACTGCTGATTTCCTCAGCATGACTTGCTCAAATTCATGTTTGTTTGCAAATAGTTGTTATCATCAGTAACAGTAAACTATATGCTAAATGCCATCCATACATGTCATCTGACTCATAAAATAGACACTAGTATCTTCACTTTACAAATAAGGAAACTGAGGCTCTACGTTAAGTAACTTGCTCAAGGTCCCAAGCTGTCAAGCAAGTGTTTGAGCATGGACCTTCTTGACCCCCAAAATCCCTGTTCTTAACCTCTAAAAGCGAGGACAGGGTCCTACCAGGCAATATCTTGTTGTACTATATTGTCGTGAAGTAAATTAGGAGGACTGAGGGAGGCATAATCAATATACAGAGCCCTCTATGAAGGCAGTAAGAGTGCCTTGTTCTGCAGGGTTCAGGCTAAGCAGCCACCAACAGGGTTGGAGGATCTTCAAGGTTCCCAAGGTAGAGGGCAACAGGATATTTCTGCCATATGCTCTAAGAACTTTATATGGCATCTATATTTTCTTCAATGCAAAGGGAGTGAGTTATAGGGAAAGTGAAGGGAAAGGGACTCCCAATGCCTCAGGGACAACACTAAGCGAATATAGCCTTCCAGATGTTCTCCAAAACTCATTTCCTTTTCCTGTGCATGAAACTAGACCTGATTTTCCAGCACACTTACAGTCAGGAGTGGCTATGTGATAAGGTCTGACCAGTGAAATGTAAGTAGAAGTGTATCTTCCCAGCTTGGCCCATAAAACCCTCCCAAGGATGATCTTCCATCTTTTTTCCCTTCCATCAGTTGTGTGCCAATTCCTGGGGCACCTTACAAGTTATATTAGAAGATGGAAGAACCATTGCCTAGTTACCTAAATAGAAGAAAGACAACTGATACTCTAACACTAGCCATGTAATATTACAAAGGAAATAAGCTTCTTTTTTTCAGGAAGTCTATTTGTTATTAAAGGTGAGCCTGGTCAGACTTTTTTTTTTTTTTTTTTTTTTTTTTCTTGGGGGTTGACTATTGAACTCGGGTCCTTGCACTTGCAAGGCAGGCCACCGAATGGCTGAGCTAAATCCCCAGCCCCCGACTTTTTTTTTTTAATCAGCCCATAGCTATAGCTATGAAACTAGGGAATGATAGGTATAGCAAGAAAGAAGTTTCAAGACCATAACAACACACATGTCTTATAAATGAAGATGTGGTAGAAGGCCCAGAGAAAGAGCTTCATTCCTCCATTCTGGTCAAATGGCCAGCTAGTGATGAGAGAGGAGGTAGGGTGTGGCAAAGCTGGCTGGGGAAATAACTGGGACCTGTCAATTACAAGATCCCAGGACAGTGCCAAATAATTCCTAGAATGCTGGTATTTACAACTTCTTGCAGTTTCCCACAAAATGTAGACAGCACATAAGGACGCAGACACCACAAGCAGCCCACTATCATGACCCTTTCATTGTAGCCCACTCGGAGTCTCCTAGACCCAGGCTGTACTTTTATTTTTGCTCTTTTTCTCTTTTCCATTTTGTTCAAGCCAAATTTACTCTGCAGAGGCACTTTTTTCCTTACCTCTTCACTCCTCACTGTTCAAATAAACTTTTGCCATCATTTTTGGCTCGTCTCATTCAGTTGTTTGTTTGAGATAAGAAGGACCTGCGATAAGTTTATTTGGTGAGCCATTTTAAAGAAACTATTGGTTAACAATGACGTTGTCTAATCTTTTGACTGTAAGTTCTGGTTGTGTAGCCAACCAGGTGACTTTCTGGTCTTAGAGCTAGATAACACTTGCTCAGAGTGGTTCACCACCACCAGTTTAACCAAGAAGGCCCAGTAGTGAGGATTCTTTCTGCTTTCCTCCAGAGGAGGACTGGATCTTCTACAGCACACTTATCGGGCGCCTCCCTGTGGTTGTGTATTACCCTATTGTGCTTGGTCATCAAGACTACATGAAGCTTCTTGTTTCATTTCCACCTTGCTGATGCTTAATAGGACCTCCTCTCCAGTTAATGTTTTATACTCAAGGGTCTTCTTTTGAACTTTTAGGAAAGCTCATCTAAGACATAAACATTTTTCAAGTAAAAAGCTGCAAATTAAGAGAGCATAGGCAGTTCCCCCTTTCAACCTAAGGGATCAAGAATGAAAGTAGATGTGAAGAGAGTCTTCCACATGTCTGCATGAAATAAAGTGATTCCCAGAAGCTAAAGAGAGTTCTGGCACCTGTTGTGTGGCAGGTTAGGGATAATGAAAGATGGCTTTCTGGGCTGGGCATCAGAATTCCCCCATGGGAACCAGCTGCAATGGCTGGATATATGCTGCTCTCACATAGCTTTGCACACAGTAGATATCAGCCCAACACCTTAGAGACACCTTAGAGAAAGGGAGTGTGTTGTCCTATGGGATGGATACACTTGGGGATGCTCAGAAAATATGTTGGGAGAATTTCATGTTGGAGATGGGTTAAGAAAGGCCTTGAATTATACAACTGACCGAGTATCTTGAGTGAAATTTGAACTGCTTCTAATTCTTACCTATAAGCTTGTGAGAAATATCTCCAATACATTCTTTCAAAGATTGACTCTACTGAATTATATACAATTAGTTAGTAGCAGCTCTTTAGAAACAGAAAAGACCTACTAAAAGACATATACTAATATCAAAATATATACAAGTGTGCACAGATGTGTGTCTTAAATATGAAAAAAAATCAGCATAAAATGATTACATGGCTAGCAGGACAATGAAATAAACTTCTGGTTTTAGTAGTTCCTGATACTCATGAGAGAGGTTTTATTTGTAGGGAAAAAACTGGCATAGGAGAGGAAGAGCAGTACAGTATATAGAGGCTCAAGCCTACAATCTACCACACCACATTACTGGACAATCGAGCTTCTCCCTGATCAAACAGGAAACAAACATGAGCTCATGAGTGCCTCAGTCCAAGCTTTTCATACCCAGTAGGTGTTGTTAAATATTAGATGGCAAGTATTTGTTGAATATTTATTGTTTACTACATACAGAACCACGACAGTGAGAGAAAGTCTACAGACAAGGATCTTACTTCTGTAATTATAAGGCTCTCATTTATTCATTCATGAAGAAATAGAACACCAGCTCACTGTCTACTCCCAAAGACTATAGGACTAAATATGAGGTGCCAACTCTGCCCTGATGGTGGGACCAGCTCATCATTAGGGGGATGAGGGCAAACATGGAAATGGAGAAATATGGAAAATGCTGTCACATAAGATGTGCATAAGGAACTTTGAGAGGGGAAATGAAACTTGAAAGTATTGCAAGAGGGTAAGGGGGAGGTAAATGGTGGAGAAGTTATTCAGCTGTAAGAAGGCAGAGAAATGCATGAGGGCTGCTGTGAGAGAAAACAGTGAGAGACAGAAGTACAAGGATGTGCAGAAAGTCCCAGTACTTCAATACAGCTAATTATAATAACCAAACAGGACCTGCAACACATGAAGATAGACAGATTTAGACATCATGGGAATTGGGCAGCTCTTCAACCAAGAGCTTTCTTACCTTTTACATCAGCACTGACTTCCCTGTACTTGGTTACATCTTTGATGATCCATGTCATATTTTGGGAAAATGTGCTGAGATCTCTGACTGTCTGAAGGTTGAAATGAAACTGAGACGTTGCCATGGCCTTCAGGTTTTCCTCAGAAGCCTCCTGCAGCCCCACTGAGATGATTTTCACTCCATCTTTCTTCAGGGCCTTTGAAGCCTCTTCCACATCATCCTCAGACTTGGCTGAAGCCAGGACCACCAAAATTGGGGGGAACTGCTTCTTGTCTCTTCCATTTCTGGGTGCAGAGAAATAGGTCTTGTGGGCCTCCCAAAGAGCATTTCCTATCTTCAGAGGCCCACCAATGAACCTGAAGTTCTTCTTGAAGTGGCCCAGCATGGGGTTCCTGCTCCTGAAGGTGTTGAGTTGGAACTCACTGTGGAGCCCATCACTGTACTGGGCCAGGGCCACACGGTATTTGTTGGCCTCTATGGGGAGACTGCTGATCATTTTGCTGATGAATGTTTTCACCAGTGGAAAGAACTTGATTCCCAGGTGATCTGAGCTGTCCACCAGAAATACCACATCTGCATACTCAGGGCCTGGATCTATCAAAACAAAAAGACAACAAACAAAAACAAGATTACTGTTTAGCCTTTACATTTTAGACCAAGGTAGTCTTCAGAGACTATGTCTTCTTGTGAAGGTTCTATCAGAATCCCAAGGAAAGTATCTTGTAGAGATCAAATGGAAGAAACTGTACTTGGTTTTGTTAAAATCAAATCATCAAACAAGATGACTTTAGTAAGGTTATCCAATAGATTTTTTTCTTTATCAACTTTATGCCAAAGGCAATTGAAATTTTTTTAATCTTTTTTTACTTCTGTAGCCCCAAACTCTGACACTGTACTAAAGAATAAATAATATGATACCACCCTAGAAAGTTCCAACTTTTGGAAACCTCCTAGAGTAAGCAGCTGTCTTTGGTTGGAGAGGTTAGAGGCAGAGTCTGGGACAGGGATTTTAGGTAGGTGAGGTTCACTGAAGGTAATTAGTGTAATAGAAGAAGGCTCAGATGGGATGGAGCAAAGAGACATTTATCACTGAGTAAAGCCTACCTCAGTTCTGATCTGCCCATGACTCTGGCACATGAATTACCTGAGTCCTCCCTTTTTGAGGAAAGAGGACCAGTTTTTCCTATCAGTCAGCAATCAGCTGTGGACTATCCTCAGAAATTGAAGGAAGAGAGTAAAGAATTATGGGCATAACCCCTTAGATAAAAAGGCTCTGGGAAAGTCCAGAAGCAAGGTAACACAGACAGCAGCTGAAGCAGGGATGCCTAGACTGATAGGAAGACTCTGGACACAAGGAGCACCAACACTGCCAACAGTCTCTATGCTGGCCAACTCAGTTCATTCCACTCTCAAATTAGTGATATGTTGGCAAAGGTCCCATAATGTGCACTTTCTTTTAAAGCAATTCAAAGATTCATCTGGTAACCCTATGGTGGTTCAATCTAGGGTTAAAAAAATACTTCTTTCAACTACAGTTTCAGTAATTATAGGAAAGTAGAAAAATCCAGGTTTCAGCGCGCACGCACACA